GGTAGATGCTATGCAGATGATTTACCACAAAGATGGTGCTTACAGAATGAAAGGATAAACAAGCAACAGAGGTTGCCAACGTATGTGGAACAATAAAAAAGGTCACCCAGCAAGTGAGAGGGTGGCCCACAGGAAGGAGCTAAGCTTTTAAGTGCCCTGAATACAAAATAAAGTCAGAATTTCTGGAAAAGCAGAGTGAGCAACCTCAAAGGATGAGCAAAGCAAAGGGCAAAGAACAGTTTCAGAAACATGGGTATCTCTGTACTCATCCCACGTGCAACAGAAATGCACCCTTACAGTTCTTGTGAATGTATTTTTTTCTGTTGACTCAACATGCCTAAGAAAAGCCTGGGATGTCCCACAGGAAAATAACAAAAGAAGTGAAAGAGTACTTGGAAACCCTGTTGTAAGTCGGATATGATCTGTATGTGTGTCATATGAGCAAATAATGGTGGGAGGTGCAACTTTAACTGTAAAGGAGTCATCGGGGGAGATAAAGAGGAAAGCAAGAGCCAGGCAGAGGAAATGCAAGGCTTTATTTAAGAAACTGGGAAATGTAAGTAAGAATTTATGCCTGGGTAGAAAGAACAATGCTGGCCTAAGGGGAGGCAATAAGCTATAAAGGTAGAAATGGGCACTCAAATTGTGCAGAAGGAAGCAGGAGTAGGCAAGAGTTGGGTTGTATGAGTCAAAGGTTTTGTTGGGTTTTGTTTTTAATTATTGTTATGCCGCTACTAAAGCAAGTTATACTGCAGAGGGAGAAGGTTTTCTAAAACCTGAGCCTAATGAAGGGTGAAATCAGTGGGACCATGCTCTTCTATGACTTCACCTGCCAGGGTAGCCAGCTCCTCGCTCCCTCTCTTCCAACTGACCTACTCTCATTTTCATTTGTTCCTTTTAAAGCATCCAAGACAGACTTATATTCAATGCTATTTTGTATCAGTTATTACTTTGTTGTGCCTTCTTTCACCTTATGTTGTCCTGAACTAACCACGTTACAAATGGAGTCGATATCAATTAGAAACTTACCACCCGCCAAACTGGTCAATGGTTGCGCCACAAAGACATAAAATGATAGGGTTGGAAGGGGCCTGTTTTTCAGCCCAGGCCCCAGTATCAAGCAGGATTTTCTTCTCTACTCATGTTAAAAGCATTTTATCTGAGCTGCATCATTATATTATAAACAGCACCAACTCAGCAATTGCACGAGGAAAATATATTCTGAAACCTACTTGCCTACACTGCTTCATTTTCTTGCCCTCAGATCTAACCTGGATAATCTAGTTTTACTTTTCTGTATATCCAGCCAGCATGTTTTCTGTTAATCCCTATGGTATGTATATAAGCTAGTAAGCCCAAAGAAATGTCATGTTACCCAGGCTGAGACATAACAGCAGTGTGACACTTCATTCTCTCACACTTGAGAGTTCAGACAGTATTCCCCTTGAGGTACAACTAACTGCAGGTTTCTTATTTTCCAGAAATATTGATCATCCTTTATTTAAAGTTTTAAGAGTCAATCAATAAGTAATATTTAGCATGACACTCTCAAAAACTTTCAAACCCTCATGAGGGTCATGGTTTATATATATATGCAGCCAAGATTTTTAGTTTTCTGGCCAAGATTTTTAGTTTTCTCCATCTAGATCTGAAGCAAATCTGTGCTGTCCAGCAAAGCTCTACATAGGGCTCAGCCTTCCCTTGGGGGTTCAGTTCATAGGAATTAAGAGATCCTGTAGGAACTCAAGAAAACATGATGAAGGTATGAGTCTTAGGCCTGTTTGGAGATTTACCTTGTTGGTACCAGCTTTACAGCTTGTGGAAACACATATTCAGAGGTTAGATAAATCAGGTAAGAGCTACCTCACATACAGATGATAACAGAGCAGTTAGACAAGCCATTTATTGTATAAACAAAAAAACCAACCAAACCAAAAAACAACCAAAACCAAAAACAACCAAACAAAAAAATAAACCTGCAGAGCAAAGAGACAGTGCTGCAGCTGGATAAAGGTTTGGGGTCTTTAACTCAAATAAAATAATCTGAGTGTAGAATGGTCATGCTTCAAACTGTGACCCAACCTGCTCTGCAACTTAGTGCTGCATTATGAATGAAAATGTCTGAAAAAACTGACTGCAGCTATGGACTCTGTAATAGAACTGAGCAGCACTTTGTTTCTTTCTCATTAATTAAAGTTCATTTCATGCATCTTTTCTAAAATAATCTTTGCCACAAAGTACTCTCAACTTTTCTTGCTGTTTTGTAAGAAGTCTTTTCTTAAGTACCTCATGCAAATTTGTATCTAAATAAAACCACCTTCAGCTTTAATGGAGTGTAAAGAAATTGGCTTTCAGCCAAGTATCAGCACTCTAAAAGTATTTCTACACAAACACCTTTCCTACTTTGCTGTTTCTCCAGTCAACTTCTGATGATTAAAGTACTTCTAAAGTTTTGGGGCAACAAACACTTGATGCCACAGTTTATGACATGGAGTTATCCACAGCCCATACACAATTCTGTCTGTGGACAATGTATCCAACAGGACCATAGGAATTTTCTGCCATTTGGGAGTTGCAATGGTTTTACATACTCATAATGAACCTTTAAATACAAACCAAGCAGCACAAACAGACCTTACCTAAAAAAATCTAACCCAAACTGCAATCAGATAGAGAAACTCAAACTCAGTAACCACTTTTAGCGCTTTTCTCGTATTTATTCCATAAACACCTGCTTAATTTTCCATGAAGAAGTTTTACACTGGTGTTTATTTGCTATGGAATAAAGCCTCAAAATTTCTAAATATATGACAAATTATTTTGAAAAAGAAAGGCAACACTGCTTTGATTGGTGATATCAGTTAAAAACACACTTCAAAGGTACTAACTTTATTTCATTAGTCCAAGGAGTTTCCATATAAACAACGGAACAACCACAAAAGCCAGAACGGGATAAATTATCAACCCACAGTTCAAAAACTCTTTCAAGAAATGATCCATTTTAAAATTGTGGAAAATATATACACTCACATCTGTTAACTGTGACATGCAAATACTCGTGAGAGCAATCAACTTTTTTAAAAAGGAAGCAGAACTGAACCCCATAACACCATCCCAAAATGAGGGTCATGTCGTAATGCCTTTTCACAACACCAAAACAATCTCAAAATTCAAATTAAACACTCAGAAACTTTTCTTCCTACCTTGTATTACAAGCTGGCTCACGTCTGCCAGCACCACAAGCACCTGTGCACTTTGTAGCATACGGGAATTTTTAAATACTGATTGTTCAGGATATATTGCCTATAAAACTGAAACCTCAAAGCTACACATTCTCGTCCCGGGTTAAAAATAAACCCCACGCTCTTCAACCAGGGGCTGTTGACTGCAGCTGCAGGGAATGGCACAGCCTCTCCAGCGTCCCCAGAGACCCCAGCGCCGATGGCAACACCACGACAAACCTGCGCGCTCCGGCAGCCCCGTGGATTTTAAGCAGCAAATCTGAAACCCAGAGACTACAAAGCGAGCTGGATCCAACACGGCTCCGAGCGGAGCCCTCTCACTTCTTGAAACTGGCTGTAAACAGGGAAAGGGAGGGGCCAGGCGGCTGCCAAGCCAAGCAGAAACTTGTGAGTAACTTCCAGAGCAAAAACAAGTGCAGCGCAGGCAGCAGCGCCCAGCCGGGCGCTGGCACGGCCAGCACCATGTTCCCAAGGAGAACCACGCCGGGGCCTGGCGGCCGGCTCCCTTCCTCGGGAATGCGGCTGGGAGGAATGCGAATGTGAAGGGAAGGTAAGAGGCTCCGGAGCGCCGTGGGAACGGCGGGCGCGGAGCGGCATCGGGCGCGGAGCGCTCCCCGCTCCCTTCCCACCGCGGGCTTTCATTTTCAACCTGATCCCGCTTCTAAAAGCAGGGAGATCCTGGGAAGTGCCGCGGCCGCCTGAGTCAGGCCACTGTAAACAAGAGGCTGCAGCGTTCACTTATGCAACAGAGTCAACCTGGGACTGCAGAGCTCCTTGTGCCCGGAGAGGGAAGGGGGTCAGCTTAGATTGAGCGAGTCAAGCTGCGTTCAGGCATCGCAGGGGCTTTACCCAGACACGGTAAAACTGTGACGGCAAAACTGACTTTAAAGATGGCAAAAGAGACGGCTGGGTGAGAAATGCTGAGCTGGGCCTGCACAGCACAGAGAACAGGTTCAGTGCCTTCGCTGGGGAGTGACCATTAAATATGGGTGATTTCGGCATTAGTGGCAAAAATACATCACCTGGTAACTTAGAAGTCATCAACTTTGGATCACATTTCTTAAGAACGTATTTTTTATTTTGGATTTTATTTTTGCTCATTTCAGATGTAAATATTGTCACTTTCGTCAGATTACTGTTTAAACACAAAGAATCACCTGCCATTTCTACCATTAAAACAGAATTGCATTTAACTATGTAAAGAAAAAAGGGGTAATTACTAAAAACACTTGTGAAACCAGACATCCCCCTGCTCTGTAAAATACAAAGTGTGGTAGCAAAGATTGTTGATCTTCTGAGACAATATACAGGCAAGTTATTCTGTGGCTGATGTAATTCAGTCTGGAGTAATCAAAGCTACATGCTTAAGGATAAACCTGCATAATGGAATTACGTGATTGTATCCATGCCTGTGCTTAGTCACCCTTGCACTCACCATAATGCATATATTTGCAATATCTAGTTCCAGTCTGTTGCTTTGCTTGAATCAAGTCACAACAGTTCAATGTAGTTTTGGTTCCCTTCAACTGCGCAAAAAACAGCTTTGCTTTTTCTTTCTTAAAAACTTAAAACAGCAGATGCTTCCTGAAAACAAACTGGGTTGTTTTCAGTGCTCAAAAATAGTATGAGGATGGAAAGACAACATAAAGATATGACACAGTCCATTCATATGAAGTACTGTAGCTGAAGAACTGAACTGAGAAAATGAACGAAATTAACGAAAAAGTTTTCCCACAGAGGTGAAAACAGGCTTTGAAAACAGCAGAACTGCAGCTGGTGCTGCTGCCACAGAAGTCACTTCTCTGAGGAAAGCCAACACAGGACAATGGAATAAAAATTTGCTTGCCCAGCTAAAATGACTGTATTTTTAGCCTGATTTCTGGCACAGCTTATGGTATTTAGAAGGAAAATGTACACAAAACAACTGCAATGGGAAATAAATCATGAAAGTTGACGTGATTTTGGGACTAATTCTGTACTGTGTCTGAAGTGTCAAAGAATTAGCATTAGAGAGATGCATTCATATGCTTACAAACCCCACACTGTAATTCAGCCATATGGTTCATGGACTATAGCATGTTGTCTAGTAACATTCATTTTCATTGCACAATGTTTATTGGGGATTTGATTAAATCTTGCTCTCTATCTGGAAGGAATGCAGGTATATGTGTGCTTACACTTTTCCACACGTGCTGAAAGGGAAGCACACAAAAAACCACAGGAGTGTGTGACAGTGTCAGAGTACACAAGAAATCACCTGCTGCATAAACTCCACGCTAGCCCAGAAATGAGCTGGCAGGAATCATAACCGTGATTTTAAGTGCAGGTTTTGAGTTGTACTTTAGAGGTTATTTCTTTTTCTGCATTTTGGAAAGAGACTTTTCACAATTGCTTTGAAGTTCAGTTATTTCAGTTAAAACGTTATCTCTTTACTGACCATAAAGCAAAGATAGCTGGATAGCAACTGATAGTAGCATACTTTAAAGAATTCCAGATATTTTTAAAAGGAAATGATAGCTAACTCTTGCCTTTTTGGAAAGTCAGGCTGTCCTGATATTAGGTTCCCTGGACTACAGAGGTCCATTGTTTTTTTTTCAGAACTAAATGGTTATAGGTTGGAAGTCTGAATACAAACTGACCTATTAAAAAACCCTAAATCTTTCATCTCATTTCCCTGTTTCCTCTAGTCTTTGTCATTTTTATCAGTGATCCAGTACACATCCACCATACTGCCTTGGATGGGCCTCCCAAGAAACTGTCTCTTCAAGGGAAAGCTTATTTAACACCTTAAAGAACTCTATTCTCCATCTTATTGCAAAGATTTGTGCTTCAGCTTATATCCTTCCATTCTTCAGCAGTTACCTTATATATTATTAGCTATATATAAGGTACTGTTTGATAATTTAAAAATACCATTATCCTAATATTCATATATACTACATCAGTACTTAAAGATAGACAGTTTACAATTTACTTCTGTTGAGTGTCCTGTATCAACTCACTTGCAACTAATTTCATTTCAGTTAGAACTTCAGGACATTTACTAGTCTCACAAAATTTTGAATCACAGATGACTTTCTTCTAGACTAACAAGGTCAGCTGTGTGATGCGTATAATCTTCCAAGTTTAAAATGTTTTCTTCACACTACACTGCATTTCGCTTACAATATAATGTTTCAACAATACTTTCACTATTTTTCTCTCTACAGAAAAGCTGGTAACCAGCAAAGAAGACACAAAAGCTAAAATCACTATGTGGAGCTGTGAAGCCTTAATCAACAGTACCGAGAACAGTGAGGACCAGCACCTCTGCCATGACTTCGACCTTGTACTGTCCATCTTTTCCCTACTCTACCTCATTATATGTTTCCCAATTGGCCTTTGTTACAATGGCTTGCTGGTCCTAGTTAACCTCTACAACAAAGCTACCATGACTATGCCAGATGTTTACTTTGTCAACATTGCCATCGCTGGCCTCATCATCAACGCTCTGGCACCAATGTACCTTCTAGGTCTTGCCAACACAAAATGGGCCATCTGGAATTCCAACAACGAAGTTTATATCACCTTTCTTATTTTATTCAACGTCTCGTCCTTGGTTACAATGTACTCTACGACACTGCTCAGTCTGGACTACTACATCGAACGCGCTCTACCCAGAACTTACATGTCGAGTGTGTACAACACCAAACACGTCTGTGGGTTCATCTGGGGCGGTGCCATGCTTACGAGCTTCTCATCTCTCCTGTTCTACGTCTGCAACCACGTGTCCACTAAAATAATCGAGTGCTCCAAGATGCAGAACCAAGAGGCAGCGGATGCCATCATGGTGTTCATCGGGTACGTCGTCCCGGCCGTCGCTGTGCTCTACGCACTCACGTTAATCCTGCGAATACGCAAAGAGGCCACGCCACTGGATCAAGACACTGGGCGGTTGGATCCGTCAGTGCATCGGCTTTTGATTGCCACAGTCTGCACACAGTTCGCGCTGTGGACACCCTATTATGTTATTCTCTTGGTAAGCACATTTACTAACCTGCAAGGAAGAATTGCAGATATAAATTACATTCGAATATTGGACTTTACCACGATTTTGTCAAAATTCTTGGCTTTCTCAAGCAGCTTTGTGATGCCTCTGCTCTACAGATATATTAACAAAAACTTTCCCAACAAATTGCGACGTTTGCTCAAAAAGATACACTGTGGGAATCAAGGGTGTTCTCACGAGCGCACAGTAGTACAGCAAGTCATGACATAGGTTTGACAAACTCCCCTGGTGCTCTGTTACTGCAGTACTTGGTGTTCTTGGGACTGTGATACTGCTGTGTTGGCACTCAGAGACATTAAAGCATCCCAACCAAGAGGCTGGAAGGAGCTTCCACTGCAGCTGAATGCAACAGTCTTAATTTTCACATAGTTGTTTGCTGAAGTCGCGTGAGGCTCTGGCCAATGTGCTGCAATACCTGTGACAGCTGATACCTTCAGTGCACTGAACTGGTTACAAACTCTGTCTTCATGTCTCTAATCTTCCTGTCTGAAGAAATCACTAAGCAGTTTATTGAAGTCTTGACTGAAGACACAGCACCTTGTATGTTGTATAGAAAAAGGTATTACCTTATTTTCTGTACAAAGAAGTGATAGTGCTATCCTTGATGAAGTAAATAGCGTTTTTCAATGAAGATTATATAGATGATCTTTACTGAAGATCATATGATCCAATTATACATGCCCAAATAGTAAATGTTAATTATAAATTAAATTATTTAATTTCTTTCTCCATCACTGAATCCCCTCTAAAAGAAGCCTAATTTACCATTTTCAGAAATAATTTTCTCACACCAACTAACCTGTTTTAAAGTTTATGGTAAAGTGACTTTTTTTTCCTAGCTATAACAATTAACAAAAACGTGTTTTAATTTTCCAGTGCTTTGTTTGCATCCTAAAACATTTCAAGAATCCAGAAATATTTATTGACTAATTCTAAGGGAACCTAAAGATGTTTGTTCCGCATATGAAAATGAAGGACATGGTGGTTTACAAAGTTAAATCAGAATTTAACTAGTAAAGATTGTCTGGCTAAGTGTTATGGTCCACATATGTTCATGTAATGAGAGTAATTATCTTAAAAAATAAATATGTTTATGATTAACATTTTGTATTTTCAAGGGATATGTTTGCAACAAATAAATTAAACTCTCTTTAATCTAGGGCATCACTGAAGGTTTGGAAATCATATAAAATTCCTCAATATATGCAAGGTTTTAAAATGGGAGTAATATCTAGGAATCCCAGTCAGCATCAGCCTTTGCTGACCTCTCAGAAATGGAGTGCCTCCCAATGGGATTCTTGGATACACAGTAAAGTCAAGTCTAGTTTCTGTATTTCACAGTAAGGATGAAGAAATCCAGCCCAGATCACCAGATTTTACTGGTTTGATGAAATATGTAAGAACCACAAACATGCTGCAGGAAGCACATAAATAACTACCCACAACAACAAACTACAAAGCACTGACTCGAGAACTACCTGTTCCCGTGCTGCTATTGCATTATTAATGACACAGGGGGTACAAGTGAAACTGATATTCTCCCACTGGTTTAGGGGCCATGAGACATCTTTCTTACTCTCCCTGCAACACCACAGCATTGTTTTGTTGCTTAACTCGTCACAACACAATTCAAGTTCCACATGACTCTATTCAAAAAATGTGGCTTTTCAAGCTTCAGGTATCATAAAAACATGGAGCAAAACCAGAACTGAATCTTTTCCATTGCTTAGAGCACAATCTCATCTGATAGCTGGTCCTATTTGTCAGCAGAGGCACATGCTTAAGTTCTAAGGGGAAAGCAGGTGAGGAACAGACTTTTCATACCTTTTCCCTTCAACATAACTCAGTTCCTTCTCATAGTCATCTTCCTCATATACAAGCACCTTTAAGTTATCAGCATTTTGGTGGAAGACCCTCCATTAGTCTGTTTTTTAATAACTTTTCATAGTTTAGTGAAATCTTTTTATCTCTTAAAGCCTATACAGTAAATAATCTTACTTCTATGGTGTTTTCTCCACACAAAAACTATCCAGCACAACTACACCAGTTTACTTCATAGTTTTAGCCCACTGATGAAAACCATGTTAAGGAATGAAGCTGCTCTTAATCAGTGTCCAACTCACACACTCATTTATAGTGCCTCTATGCTGATACAATACTGGCTGCTTGGGTTGATTTTTTTCCCCTCTTGAGAGGTTTTCTATGAATTTCTGCACATCTTGATCATTCAAATTCACTTTCACACAGAAGTGCTTAAGAAAAAAATCTTTCCTTACAGCTGTCAAGCAAAGAGACTCCTCCTTCCCATCTGAGGAAATTTAGGTTTCCTAATGCACCACATTAAATCGCTCACGTAAAATCTGTTAAAGAAATTCTGTCCCATTATGCAGGAGGAGTTCCAGCAGGGAGGAACTGCCTTATCTGGTGTGAATAGAGGCGTTCACAACTGGGACACTGACAGAACAGTGCAGCTGAACAGGCAGCATGAAGTGCAATTTTAACTTCCGTGTTGCTTCCTTACTTCCATTTCCTCCTTCTCTCAAGACATCTTTCTTTCTGTCTCCAACAGGACTGTTGCCTTTATTTCTGTTCCCTTCTCTCTGTGTTAAATTCCCAGTTTCAGATCATGGTTGTTTTATCATTTCTCTTTACCTTTTTCACTTCTCTGCTACATTTATTTAACTTTCATTTCTCTCCTGTTCCCATCCATGCTTGGTCTTGTATACCTGGTACCATTCTACACTTAAAAGTTTACTTCATGTGACTCCTTTATGATGACCCAAATATTATTCAATTATTTAAATGGAAGCTGCTGCTTAAGAGTTGGAGAAAGACAGGGCTTTATGTAATTTATGCTTGAAATATCCAATATTATTTTTTCCTAATTTTTTTGTATTGCAACAGAGCTACATATGTTTGCATTTATCCTTGAGAAATACTAAATGTGATGGCAATCATAGATACAAACAACTTTGATAATTTAATGAACAAGACTGGTATCCACTCAACCTCTTTTAAGAGATAATTTGATGTATTAGTTGCCTCAAAGCAACTGTGCCATGGATCTGCCTGGCTGCTGTTCTCTTAAGGAAATTCTGGACTTAATCGCAGCACCCTCACACGGTATCTCTCAAAAAAGCAGTATCCCCAAAAGGGAAAACTTTGCAATATTTATATAAAGAACAGTAGAGGAGCAAGTGCAGTAAAATACTTAAGGAAACACATGGTATCTTAAACTAGGGAGAACTTTAATGGACAAGTCACAAAGTTCTCAAGAATGGGGCCTTTCCATTTCAAATACCTGAAGGTTTCTGATGACTGTAAATAGGGGCTTATCTATTTCACATTTAAATAAATATGAATAAAATACTGTATATATGCAAGATAGAAATCAGCCTACTGATGTAAAAAGAATTTGCAAAGAGTTTATTAAATTATTTCTTAAAGTGTATCATTTAAATGTAAACCTCTGAACAGGAAGGTGTACTGTATGCTTCTATATGTATATATTGTGTACTAGAAAGTAAGCACTAGTTAAGTGCCACTATTAACAGTGTTATTTTCTCACAGAATTAAACTTAATATTTGAGTTCATCTATGGCTTATAGCCTTCTTGCTGAACAGCTAATTAAGTCAAATCAATGAACTAACAAAAATGTCGTGCTCTGCTTCTGTTTGAGTTATTAACACAGCTAACTCAAGACAGGTCCTTGTTGACTAACTTAGAGAAGGTCCTAGTTTCAAAAGTTTACATTTCAGAATCAAATTGTGTTGGTCTCTGAAGATGTAAATTCAGTTAATGAAAGAAACTGATCAGCCACTACAACATTTCTGGTTCTATTACAATGAAGAGCTGTGGCCTCCATTATCATGTCAAAATACTACAGAAATGGACTTACTGGAAAGCTTCATAAAGGAACTATTGGCTCATAATACATGCTCAATAAAAAGTGTTTTAAGTGTATCTGGTCAGTGAGATGTGTGAACTTTTTTTGGCTTTCTTGATAAAAACCTATTGTAGACAAGGTTAAACCTGTGTTGCTTCACTAAATCAAACATAACAAATGTCATGACTTGGATATCAAATTTCCAGGCCATAATTTTGACATCATTAAAATCTCATTATTCATCAGCATGAAGCTGAACAAAATTACTCATTTGTTCCCTTTCAATTTCCTGTAAAGTGTAGGAAGACAGCAAGTAATAGCAAACTCTATTTAAAATAGTTATTGGTAAATTCCTTTCAAAAAAAAAAAAAAGTCTAAGGCATTCTGAGTTTTAAGACTCAGTGAGAAAAAAAAGAACTTTGCAACTGTCAAAGTGGACGTTGCAATACTACACCAGTTAGTCAAAGCCTAGAGTCTGACATGATCCCCTTATTTCCATACAACGGTTTAGAGGGTGTTCTCTGTTACTGAAATAGGATAGCCAACATCTCTAAACAAACACTGAGCAGTGATTTCCTGATCCTTCATTCCACAGAGCTTTAAGATACAACCAACATACACAAAAAGGCTGTTTCTCAGCTGGATTAGTAAAACCCCTTGTATACAACACAGGCTTGAAGGATCTTCCATGAGAACAGAGTTAGTCATATGCAGCAAGTTCACAAGCCCACAGCTTTGTGAAGGGAGAACTTCTACATAAATGCAAGGAGAAAGAGTTGATCAGGTTCAACAAAGTCAACATGCTTACACCAGTCCAAACCAGGCTGACATGGCATCTGAATCTGCCCTTTTCTGTCAGTACAACAAGATTTCACAAAACTCAACTACATTTTGGAGCATACTCAGAAATACTGAGCATAATCAGAAAATACTCATTCAACTATTATAACAGTAGAATAGGCCCCAAGGTTGTGAAGAAAATATGACGCCGCTCCCAGAAACCTCAAAGGGAGTTAACACTTTTTTTTCCCTGTTTTTTAAAACTGAGATTCAATTAAATTGTTTTTGTGCTGTTGGTACATACATAGATAATAAAAATGAAAGCAGCACAGTGTCCAGCCTGGAGACCTTCTCGTGAGCTTCACTTGAAGCAGCACAGGACTGGTGAGACCAAAGAAAAGCAGAACTTGCCCAAGTGCTGCTCTCAGTTCCGCTGTAGGGCAAGGACTTGGAGAATTGATTCTGCAGCTGTAAAGAGCTCAACACACTGATGAATCTGAAACATATGCTCATGGATTAAATTATGAAGTTTCTTAATAAGCAAAACCTTGTGTATTTCTAAAATATCTCATGCAATACTTTTTCCAAGTGAAAGCAGTCTGATGGTACAAGCCCAGCTGTGCAGACTGCCATGGCAACAAGGCTGAAGTGTGAAGTGTTTGCTCTGTTGTATTTCCTTTAGCTTTCCATTCTATATCAAAACACTTTGACATATGCTGAATACCTTCTTTTTCCATCAGGAGAGCAGAGATGTATCCTCTCCTTTTTCATCTTCCTTTCTTACTCACCAAGTCCTTCTCTTAACTTGGAAGTCCATATGATTTCCTTATATTCCTTCCTTCTAAAGAACTGGCACTTTTAATTCCATGTACAACAACAGTCAAAGTTATTCACAGTCTACAGCAGGCAGAACTTCTGTATTATTAGAAATCATAAACAGTGAAATATTTTAAAACATCAGATTCTTATCAGAATTAAGTATATAAATGGAGTATGAAATTAAGTGTTATGAATATATGAATTAATATAAAAATGTATTTTAAAAAACCCTTTGTATCAAAAGTTCTTCAAAGCAAGATTTACAACCAGAAGGTGAATCTATTTTATCTAATTGTACTTGCACACTTTTTTCCTTCTTCTTAAGAACATTATCCTAGAGGTGCTGACACCGGCACTGATGGGCTCAGCCTTGTACAGTGGTGGGTCAAGGATCCTTGTGGGTCCCTTCCAACTCAGAATATTCTGAGTGATCTGTGATCTATGGGTCCATCTTGGTGCCAGGATGGCACTGGATCTGTCAGACACCGGGGAAGCTTCTGGCAGCTTCTCACAGAAGCCTCCTCTGTAGCCTCTCCCCACCTCCACTACCAAAACCTCGCCATGCAAACCCAATGCAATCATTAATTACAAAGTGAATTGAAAAGCCTAATTTTAGCAAAAAAAAAAAATTTGCAGATTTAAGCTTCTGCAACTCTTTTCTTATCTCCAAAACCTTTAAAAGATCATTTTGAAATGAACGCTGGTATTGGGTTACCAAAGCTGTTTTAGAAACTCCATCTGGTGGCCACTAGCAGAATATTCTTGCAGTTCCCAAAAGGTCTGTAAAATTAGTTAAAGGATTTAAATTAATTGTTGAGGGGGATGGGGGGTGGAAATCACTCCCCGTTTCTGATTAAACACAGATTTATACTAACTGGTCCTGTCTGTGGCAGTGAGGGTGTTGCTGCAAGTATTTGTAAGAAGAAACAAAATTAACCTCAACTTCTACAACCTCAGTTTCAACTGCTGCTGTGAGGGTGAGGCATGTAAGAGACAATTCTGTTGCAAGAAACAAACCTCAACAATGCTTAATTTTGGTTTTGAACCTAACAGAGGGATATTTAACCAGGCTATAAAGTCTGATTATTCACAAGGAAGAAATATTTCTAAAAAAGCACATGTTTCTTGTATTGTTTTATGAAACATCTGTTACTGGTCATAGTCGTTGACAAGATGCTCCAAGACCAAAGGAATTGCCATTCCCATTCAGCTCCAGAGTATTACAGTCTTTCTAATTAAGTTATGGTTTCACTAGTTCACAATGAAATAGATTTCATACCTAATTAATACAGACATTTGAAATTTTTCAGGTCAGCCTATGTGCAATTAAATAATCATCCTAGCACCTGCAGTGCTATGCAGAGACCAGCTCTCTTATAAAATTTGCAATTAGAAAAAATTAGAAAAATCTTTTCCACCCTTTAATAGAAGTAGGGTAGTATTAGCAAATGCAGGCCATTTTTGAGCCCTTGTAGCTGAGTTACACAGATGATTTACCATACTGAGGAATTTATTTTGTGATTGATAGAAACATTACTGCATAGTAATAATAATAAAACGATGTTTATAAAACAACTTGCATTACAAACAGTGCTCAAATATGCCAATATAAAATCTCCAATAGTGAATCATGGGCAAGCAACCCTGAGACGTGAAGGCAGTTGCAGAGCACCAAGCATGGCTGTTCTAAGATAAAAGAAAGAAGTGTGGATTTACAGTGGCCTCTGAGGCACAGGGAATTATTAATACCAGTTCTTATGGATACACATCACCAACTTGGGCTTTTCTAACCCTTTCCTAGCAGAAAGACTGTCAAATTTTACAATTTCAGATAGGTCTGTGTACCTTATAAATCAGCAGAAGCATCTGAATTCCATTTTAAAAACCACACTCAAAAAACCCTCCCAAAACCAAACATGCAGGGAATATAACACAATAAAGATATGCAAGGGGTTTTTATTCTAGAATTCATCCACACACAAAATTCCTTTAACTTTCCTCTAGCTAGTAATTCTTAGTTCTATGTACAACTTCCCTCATGTTTTGGGTCTTGGGGCTTTTTTGTTGTTTTAGTTTCGTCTTGGGGCGTCCTTTTTAATGTCAAAGGCCTGATGTTCCACAGTGTTTTAATCAAGGACACAAATTTAATTTCATTTCATTTCATTTCATTTTACTTCATTATTCATTTAACTTAATTTCCTTGAAATTTCATTTACATTCCAGGTGTGTTCCAGGCTTGTTCCAGCCATGTTCCAGGTCCACGTGTGTTTCAACAAGCCTAGAAACATGTTCCAGGTGGTTTCCAAATGCGTTTCAGGTTTGTTCAAGGTGTGTTGTAGGTGTGTTCCAGGCATGTTTTCCTTCCAGATGTGTTTGAACACGCTTGGAAACGTGTTCAGGGTATTTTCCAGGTGTGTTCCAGGCATGTTCTGGGCGTGTTCCAGGTCCAGGTGTGTTTGAACACGCGCGTGTGTGTGTGTTTGCTCCGGGTGGTTTCTGGGTGTGTTTCAGGTGTGTTCCAGGTGTGTTTCCTCTGTGTTCCAGGTGTGCTCCAGGTACATCCCAGATGTGTTCCAGGTGTAGGTGTTTGACTTTAATTTCATTTCATTGAATCTCATTTCATTTCAATTAAATTCCATTTCATTTCAATTCAATTCATTAATTTCTGGACATTTCATTGTTCTGGCCCTTTGCTGAACAACAGATCACAACGTTTCAGAAGGAAGGCAGGACAGGATCACCATCTCCATAGAACTTTACAGGATGGATCTGCTTGAAGCCAGAGAATGAAAAGCCTGAAATCTCCATGATTTCAGCACCTCCCAGGCCAGAAGTACTGAAGTGTGTTAGAAAAGACAGAGAGGTTTCTCTCATCTGGCACGCATAGATATGAGAGGAAGAGCCCTCACTTCAAATTAAACTCACTGTTCCTGTCTGTCCTCTGCTAAACACATCAGTAACATAGGTCAATTAATTATCAATCAACAAATTATCAGTGTTTGGTAAAAAAAAAAAAAAAAGGTTCATATCTGCTTTCTTCATAACAACATCTGTCACTCAGTATTGGATATATTTATTTTGCCATATAAACAGCTAAGGTATGTTAAAAAAATAAACCAGAGTTTTGCCCACCACAGCACACTGAGGGGAATCGTGTGTGTTATCAGCCCATCCCTAAATATTGGCACAGCATCTCACAACTATTTCACTTCTGCAACTTCCACCTTTCCTGCCTCCACCCTATCCGGAACATCATTATCAGACATCAGCCTTTTTCCACTGAGAGCAAGCAAACTAATACATGCTAAGAAATTTCACCAAGAAATCATAAATCCACAAATCACTAATGAAAATAGCAGCATTGTGCATCAACCCAAACACAGTCACCTAACCACCGTTTTTTGCCGTTTTATGAAACCTCTATAGAACTGAACACAAGTCTGTTTGCCACTGTTCTCATATGACTTGTACCCTGTGATCATTTAGGCAAATTAAGTAAACTAGTTTATTGCTTTTTTTCTAAGGAAAGATGCAGTTGGGCACACAACAGCAATATTTTGCTTTTCTTTCAGTAATGCATTAACTGTGACAGTAATAGCTCAGGAGCTGCTGCCAAAAACTCACCTGGGAGCTCTTAAGATACCTCCAAGTTTTGTTTCTTTCTTTAGATAAGGCAAAATTGCAGCTACAGAGATGGGAATAATCAAGGTCTAAAAACAATAAAGCATCAGCAACTTTCATTTTCTAACCTCTGTTTCTCCCCTGGCTTTCAATTTATTCCATCAGCTTGGAATAAATTTCTCAGTAGCCAAGTTTCTCCACCTGCAAAATGGGTGTTTTCTGATGTGTGATTCTCTGAATCTGTGCCTGCATTCTGGAATTGTATCGTGCTGCTTGCTCCAGATTCCAAGCAGGAAACATGTTCTTGCCCCCTAAACACCACTGAATAATGAGGCTTAATACATGTTGCAGCCAAAGTAGGAACTAATGTTTGTAAATATGAGCCCAATTATGAAGATGGGAGCTTTCTCTTTGATTACTTTTTCTTTTTAAAGACAGGAGGCATAAGAAATAGCTTCTCCCTTTTTGCTCTTCCGGTTCTATTTATATAATTTAATCATTAGAGGACAAGCTTCCTTGGAGTTCGGCTTTACCACCTCTTGCATTGTCAGAAGGGAGGTTACTGAATAACAGGAAATGTGGTCTTAACACTGCTGTGACAGGGCTTATCTGCACCGGGGTAACTCCCTGCTCATCCACTGCTAATTAACTCAGAGTCACTTAAACCATTGTGAATATTCCTTAAACGTCTGGTGCAGTCATTGATTTGATTTGATTTTATTAATAACCACAAAGTGCACAGCCAGATATCCCTGTGCACACCCACCCAATGCAACTTCAAAAAGGTACAAACTCCAGTGGTTTGCTGGTGACCCTCAGCCGAGAAACAATTTTAGTTCCCCCCTGCCCCCAGCACAGCCCAGGATATCAATCAAATCACTTCAGTGGGAAGTACAGCAACAAACAGATGCTTCAGCTGTTCAGCGCTGCCTCAAGTGCACAGCTGATCCATTCTGGAAGCTGAAAGGTTAAGGTGATGACCAGAACCCTTCAGAAATTTTTCTGTAATTTCAAAAACAATCCTTTGACTATGCTCACATAGTTCGGTGTGCTGTCCTAGGAAGAATAAGGTGACACTTCAAATTTGCGTCTTTCATGGAAAATCAACAGAAAAAGGAAAGAATCAGCTCATTTGCACGTGATTACCATGCATATTTTTTTCTTCACCATTCTTAACTATGAGAAACGAATATCAACAGAATGAACCTGGATTAGGGTACATCTCAAAAGGAAATGGTTTATACAAATGGTTACTACGCTGCCAGCTTTAACCAAGTTTATCTGTAACAGCTTGGAGGAACTACTAAATAAAAGGGAAACAATAAACAACCCACCTAGTCCAACAAACTGCTACATTAAAATGATCAAAACCAAAGTGCCTGTGGGAATTGAAGTCTTCTGAATAGTGTGTGTTAAGTTCATTGGAAATCACAGAGTCTCTGACCTACTGAAGAGCTGCTCTGGAGCACAGTTGCTTTACAAAGAATGCGAACCTTCAACCTGAAAACTGTCTCTGAGCCATCCAAACCCCCATCTACTCTGTCTCTAGTTTCAAAAAGTATCTGGAGCTGCAGTGCTGACTTTCAGGTGGAAATTTAGACCAAGTGCTGAAATATTTTCTCCAGGTATCCCACAACTCCCATTTTGAAATCTAGACTTGTATACTTTGTCTCATTTCATTTCTTTGAAGTGCTTTGGCAGTTTCCAGGTGTATTTCAGTAAGGCTTGTTAAAGTGCAACAAGTAGGAATCCATGAAAACAGAGAGTGCTGATCAAATGCTGCTCACAAATTATCTTCTCAATCCCTGAAAGCCACTGCAGGTCACTAAAAGGCGACAATAAAAATGTTCTTCCCCATGTGCTGATATGAGAAAACGTGATGCTGCCAAGGCACCCCAGACAGGTTGTATGCACTAAAAAAATCATGAGCCAACCCTTTCTTGCCCATTTATATCTGAGGTTTTAAGAACACTATTCAACAGTCACTAAGACAACTGATGCTGAGCCAGACCCAAAACATCCTCCAGGCTCAAAATCCTGTCTTTTAACACCTCATGGTCACTGCAGAGCATCTGGAAAAATAATTTCTAGCACGTATACAATACTGGGAATGTTCCAAGCCATGGCAAAATAGAAGGACACCTATTTTTAAGAAGGGTTGTTAATATTTTTGACATGCCCTGCTTTGTATCAAGTTTTTGTCATGTTAAGCAAAGGGCCTTGCATGGTATTTATTCAACAGGCTTTTCATTTTCTAGACCTCAAGCACTTCAACCAGCGCACCGGAAAAAAATGCAGCTGCAAAGGCTGGTCAGTGTGTGTGGGATCACTTCAGGAACAGGAAAATAAAATCCACTGGATGGCCTCACACACTTAGAAATGGCAGGGACAAACACTACTTTTCTGTTCTAAAACATCTCAGTGCAGAGGAAAATTTGAACTTTAAAGTCACATGATGAAACCATAGGTTTGCTAAACATGCAACGTGTATGGTTTGAATGACTTCAACCAAGTTCCTGTTTCCTTTTTACAGAACTGAATGTTATTTTAGTCAGCAAGCGCCTGGATTTTTCATCGTGATGTACGGCAGCTAAAGCAGTTATTCTAATATATACACTCTGCTTTCTACAGAAATAAAAAGGGTTATAAGCTCCAAACAACAATTATATTTCATCTGGCATTTTACAGTGAAAGTCTCAGCCTGTTGTATCTGCGGAGCATTTTCTTGAAAAGGTAAGTGCTTTATATTACTTTGAATATGCAATGTTTTATTCATCACAAGAAGCTCAAATTGTGAAGCTAAGGTTGTAATTTAAAGCTTTTAGTTTCCCCTTCTTTAACAACATTTGAACCACACAAAGTAAAGTACTGTATCTGGGAAACATCCTCAGAAGGCTGATATGTTTAATAGAGCTGAAATTTATAATGAAGCTGGGCATTAAATAGAGAAAATGTGAAGACTGTTTTCCAGTAAGTACTTAACTCCTGTTGAACCGATGGGAGCTGGATGATGAAATACTGCCCAGAGGTCTGGACAAAAAAAGACTCCAGCCATTACCTAAAGCCAGTCTTTTAAAGGATGGACATTGCCCGACACCATACTACAGAAATTGTATACAACAGGAAACACGTGAGCAATGCTTCTCGGAAACTATGTTTATGTTACTGTTGATTAGCTTATATTCTAGAAAAGCAAAACTAAAAGCTTTTGGTTTCTCAGGAACCGGTAATTTTTTGCAAGCTAAGGGTAGGATTTCTTAAATCTTTACAAGTTCAAATACTTGCCCAAGTGTAGGAATAGTGACTTTACAAGACAGATGAATACAGAATTCCACATTTCAAACTCTTATGCAAGATGCCCCCCCCCCTTTTAACTGTGCAGATGCAGTGCAAACAGAAAGGACCAATTCACCCCCCACATTACGTGCAGTGTTCTTGCGAGTCGATGGAGGACATGCCCACCAAGAGCAGAGTTCCACAAGGAACATTTTGTGTATTGCTTTATGACTGGATGAAAGAATATTTTCCTTCTAAATGCTGGTGACAGAACGCAGAAAGACTGCCCTGCCAAACCTTTTAGAGAGGAAGAGTTCTGCCTGCCAGGGAGAAACTCCTTGCTTTAGGAGTTCTTCTTTCTGGACTTTAAATAAACACAAGTTTCCTTGAAACCAAGCTCTCCATTTGCAAGTTAAACATCAAAGTGGGGATGAGGAGCCCAAAACCACTGAAGTCTTCAGGACTGGGTCCTCTCGATACTGAAAGTCCTTTCACAACTTGCTATTTTTAAACTGCTTTCTGAACACTGTACTCACTGCTCAGCCCCATCTGTTGGAAGTGGTGGGGAATGTATTCACTGTGCTTCAGGAAGTAAAAGTCAAATATATTTAACTGCTAAATTATAGTGGTGAAACAGGGATATTAGGAGGAAAGAAACCCCAAAAACAAAAGTGAGGCCATATAAAGTTATGGAAGGATTCATAACATATGAATGATGGCCAATTAAACTGGGGGAGGGGAGGAGCTGAGGTGAAGGGACAAAATACTGCAGCATGATAACCCAGAGAAAGACAATGCAAGTAGCATATTGCAGATTCCCCTCACCAATTAATCTTAGGAGAAACAGGAATACGCCTGGCTTCCACCATAGCTTCACTGTATGTAGCTATGACACACTGATTATTACTCTCAGTTACCAGTGAGAAAATAGAAATAACAAAGCCACTTTATGTTACAGCAAGTTATGAGGAGAAAAAAAAAATATTAAGTCAGGTCATGAGGTGATTGCACTCTAAGCTGACAGATTCCAGTAAAAAAGTAAAGGACAAGGCCCCCCTGCCAAGCATAAACATTACATGCATTTGGGGGGGGGGAAAAAAAAGGTCCTTGCAGTAAATCCAAGAACCAGACAAGAACTGAAGGAATACCAGATTTTCTCAGAGCAGAGGAAAATGACATAATAAATTCGTCATTTTTATATGATGGAAACTCAAAATACTTTGACAAAAAACATGGTCAGTTGTATGAAGATTCTGAAAAAAAAAAAAAAAATCACAGGAAAAATAAGCCACCCCTCTGCTGCCCCCTTGGAACATATATTTCTATTTTAAATTAAATTAGTATTATCAAAAGTCTAAAAATTTGGAAACATCTTCACATTACTCCAGCAGAAGTTGTGAGCTCCTTCATTCCGTTGTTATTCTAAGCATACATTTGCTTTAGCGCAGTTAAAAGACACAGCTCTATGTTAGAATAACAATGTTCAGGCGAAAGGAAGAGTAACATCATTGCTATTATTTAACAACTATGTTAAATAATGGTCTGTGGTTACAACTGAAACTGTTTCAGGCTTTCATCTTGACACCTATGACAAATGAGGCCGAAACACTTGTCAGCCTCTCCTTAGTGCTGTGTTGGTCCATCATTAAAATAACACAATGTGCAAAGTGGTGGGTACAGGAAGAGAAACAAAGATGATGCACTTGCTTACACAACAAGTTGCAACTATTGGAATATGCTGCATTAAGTTTAATATTCCTTACTTTGTCTCAAACACCCAAAGAGGAGCCAAATAAAATTAAAAATACCTTTCTATGGTCAAATTTGGAACCCAGTCTCATGTACCAAGGCCAGGTCCTGAGCAAATTTAACCAAGTTCTGTCATCTTGTTTTGCCTGTAATTTGATGTAGGGCCATATATGATTTCCTGTGAAACCACAAACTACATCCTTTGTTTCCTTTGCAATTATGTTACCAGAAAAGTTGAATGTTGCTGAGTTATTCTGAGATTCTCTGCAAGGAGGATGAGCACAGTTATTTGGCCCATGGTTGTTGAGAAGACCATGGAGACGTTCACAGTGCCAGCACTGAAATCTCATGTTCAGCCCTGCAAAAGGCCTGATGGGATTAGAAGGTGGCACTGTAGGCTCCCACGAAACACCTCAAAATGAAAATATTTCTTAACCTTGAAGCTACAGGGTGGAGTGATAACAACAAACTTTCTCAGATGCTCAAGTGGCCACAATGTACCATTTTTCTTATGATTGTTCTGTTCATATTTAACAAACTATTTTTAAGGTTCAAAATTATATTAACTCTTGACTTGCTTCAGAGACTTCCACCAATTTTGCCCATCAGTTCATTCCTACGTGGTGTAGGTCCAGCTCAGAGGTCAGAACATAAACAGAGTCTGACCAGCCAACTTTTCCCTTTCTGTGAGTGTACCTGTAATACAAAAAAAATCTTCCCTGGGTGAATCAATCCTTCCTGTAGTGGAATCTCTCAGAAAATAACCTTTTCTAGAAAGGAAGAAACTCTGTCTTTAAAAGAGGACAAAGAACACTGCTGAATCAAAACATAACTCCATGGTTTTCTATAAATGAAATTATAATTATATAAGATTATATACACATTTAATCAAAGTCACTTTGATAAGTCAACTTTTCTAATTAAAACCAGTATTAGAATTCCAATTTTGAGGAGAGATTAGAAATATCAGAAATGTGAAGTAGTGTCAGAGGTAACAACCATAAATTAACTGTCAAATAGTATTAAGACACTGACTTATCTATAATGAGCACTGCTTAAAAACATTAATGCATCTTTATGAATTTTTACCAATTTAAAGTTACTTTCACTTTAAGAGTTAACATCACTAGAATCCCTTTATGGAAAAGGCATTATGTACAACTAAATAAATCACTTCTTACTAGTATGACTGTATAGAACTTTCTATAAGGAGAACACCACCATCCTGTCTTTGCCTACTTGTTCAGACCTGCTTTATGTACAACAGAACAAAGTAAAAACACCAAACTCTAAGACAAAATTGAAATCTTTGTGAATAAAGATTTTTTTTTACCCCAGAAAACACTCTGCACTGTAAATATATGTTTAACTCTTTCCAGTACTGAGAAGCATCCTTAATTGGACATTCCAAATTCATTAGAAAGAGTGAGTCCATTATCTTGTGTTTAAAAATATTCTTTGCTATTAAAAAAAAAAATGCTATTTTCTGCATCAATCAGTATAAGATGCATAGAAATTTTCTTTCAGAAATTGAGTTAATTATGCCTTTAGATGGCCTGTAAAATGTACATATCCATATCCATTACACTCAGTTTTTCAGAAGTACATATTATGTTCCTATAAAAGCTTTTTGGCTTAAAAAAAAAGGAGCCTCCAAACATTTATACAGTAGCAGAATCATTATATCAACATATCACAGAGTCATTACAGCTAACAGCCTATTGATATTACGCTTAAAATTCCCTATTTTCAGGAATTTATAATACAGCTGTAAAAAATATTCCTTGCAAAAACTTTTATCAATAGGTTTGTAATGCACCAGTAATTGTTTTCTCCAAGTTGAGCATGCAGAAAAGCATTACTTTTGCAGTTTTATGCCACAGCTACATCTAAGAAATGATAGCATTATTAATGTACAAATATGTTTTAGTATAAAAGCAGTTTGTTCATAACTGTTCTTAAACACTCACATTAATTTTATATGGGCTGCTCAGTACAGACTGCAGTTATGAAAGGCTTTATTTCAGAACAGAAAGGAAGAAAAACTAAAACAAAGGAAGGAATGTGGCTCGTGCCTCATATTGTGATTATCTTTGCATTTTCCTCAGTGAGCCCCCACTGGCAGCTGGGTTCAAATTGTCCAAAATTCCCCGCCTTGCAACAGGACAGTGAAGCTTTTTGTGGTTGTAGCTGCTGCCCACACGCTGGAGTTGCCCTGTGCACTGCCTTGGCCTTTTTTGGCAAGATGCTGAGGAAAAGCAGCTCCACCTAATCCCAGAGCCAATTCCTTCCTCACCCAAACAGCCAACTCCCATATATTCCACAGGCGACATCGGTGCGCTGGATCCTGGCTGCCATGTACAAGGCTGAGCTGCAGCAAAAGCCCTGGCTACATCAAGAGAGGAAAAGCGGGGAGTGGTAGGAGCAGAACCTACACCAGAAATAAAAAGGTGATTTCTCTGGCTAAAAATATTATGCAAGTTAGCTTGAAATTAGGATAAGGTAAAACCCACCAAAAAATGACTGCATTTATTGTGAGCAACTGGTTCATACCCCTGACTGCACATAATATATATAATGCACAAATTAGACATAAAAATTGTACTTTAAAAACTGTTTCACCTTCCTTTTCCATTTCAGTTTTCAACTCCTTTGAACAGGAAAGCAGAAGGAAGGATGACTTCTCACAACATGACATGGATCAGCTACCCAAGTAAGAACCCGGCTTTCACCACCCCAGAAGAAATCCAAGACATCATAGCTTCTCAAAACATCATATCCAGACTTATGCACTGCTACATCGCCCTTTTTGTGCCCACAGGATTAGTAGCTGGCATATGTATTTTGATTGTTTTCATAAAAAATTATGTGCAGCACAAAGTCATGGAAAACTTGGACTTGCTTCTTCTACTCTTCACCATCAGCACTATTATAATGATTTTTTTATCGTTCACTGTCATTACTAGACCTGACTATTTAACAGCAACCCAGCTCACCTGTAACGTACTGTCATTTTTTTTCAACTTCAGTTACTTCAACTCTCAGTATGTTTTCATTTTGACGCTTCTCATACTGTTACTCAAGAGGTTTCCACCACGGACTGCTCTGTGCAAAGCCACCCAAAGACCCATCCTGTGCGCTGGAATTGTGCTCACATACACCTTCTGTTTGTCCCTGACTGAGGCAGTGCTGGTTGGCACTGACAACTATCACCTGGAAACAGACTGCCAGTTAGATCCACTGTTTGCACGGCCTGAATACGAGATCATTAAATTCACATTTGGGTTTGGAATCCCCTTGTTTCTTCAGATGCTCTGTTTTACTGTTCTCGTGGCTAAAGCAGCACCTGCTGAAGCTCCAGCCCTACAACAGCACATCCGCACTTACCCCGCCGTGTACGTGATCAGCGTAACAACGTTCACGTGCCGCCTGTTTTACAACCTCATGCTTCTCTTCAGGACATCACTGAAATTACAGAAGAGCACGGGAACCACGAAGAACGAGCTTGTGATGAATATTGCAGAAATAGTGTTGTTCTGTGAGAGCTGTGCTAGCTTGGTATTTATACTTTGTTTTCACAAGCCGTGCAAGGCTGAAATACTCAACGTCATGCAGAACTGCCGAAGGAAAACCAGTGCCAACAATCACCTCGAAATACCAGAAACAAACGCGCCCCACGAAAGCGGGTGTCAGTAGTACTGTTCTGAACAGCTGTCAAGCCACTTTACTTTTCAGCTTGTTTGTGGGTTTTGGTTTGGTTTTTCACTTCTTTAAAAAAGGGTGATTGTTCCTTCTTTAGAAGCCAAACTTGGCCTATCTTACAGCTAGCAGTACTGGAAAAAAAAGAGGTCTTTAATTCTAGTATTTATAGTGATCTTTGAGAGAACATGTAGGGTCTGGGGTTGTTTGGGGTTTTTTTAATGTATATATACACATATATATTAAAATGGTCTATTTTCTGCAAGTGTTACTTCAAAGCCAAGTAGGAAGATGGGTACTGCTGCCATAGAGCTGTGCTTCTGCAATAATATCAATGCCCCAGCAGAGCTGCAAACAAAACCATGGCAGAAAGCAACTCTGAACAAAAGTAAAAATCCTCAGCCAAAGCATTCTCTCAGGTATGCTTCCTCTTTTGACTTCTTAAACTACAAACTATTTTTGTAACACTGGTAAATCCAAGTAGCAGCAGTGGTAAAGTTTTTGTCTGACTTCTTGTGCCAAAAAAAAAAAAGAAAAAATAAAAGAAAAAAAAATCAAATTAATGGAAACACTGGTCCATAAAGGAAAGCTTCAGGTCCTTTGTGAGGCACTGAACTGAAAAGATCAACAGGATGGCTAATTAAAACTCTGTGCAAGAATGAAAGCTTTTTGTTAATGTCCTCTCAGCTTCCACTCTGCATTTAGACTTAGGGAAATTATTGATTTAAGCCATTCCTGATGAGTTCATTCAGAAGGGTGAAGTCGCATGCGTTGGAAGAGTCACATTCAAAAACACACTAAATAAAAACCAGAGAAATGCCAGTCCAGAACAGTGTAACTGAGGTGTGTTTTTAAGAGGGCAAACAAAAGCAGAGCCCCATTTCCTAAATGAAATCAAAGCTCTGCTGGAGAAAAGACGGAAGCGTTGTAGGTGTAGATGAGAGTGGATGGGTCAATGGTGCAAGAAGGGGAAAGAATCTGAATCAGAATTAAACAGCTGTGGTACAGGAGGTGAGATGTGGCCGTGCAGAATTAGTAGCTAATGCAGCTGAAATGTAAGTGCAAAGCTCGCACTGAGCACATTGTTACTGTCACCAAAACTGGCCAGGAGCCACCTTACACATTTGGCTTTGGTTTCAGCTTTTCCTCTCATAGAGGTGGAGAGAACGGAAACAGGAAAAGCACAAAATTGTACTAGATCTTGGATAATGATGTCAGCTGAGATCACAGAGTTATAAAAATACAGTGCTGTGATGAGGACGGCTCAAGCAACCTGAAGAGTTTTGAGAAAACTCATTTTTATGCTTTAATCTGTTCCTTTGTGTGACACTCAGGTGCTAAGGGAACTGACAGGTTTTTTTGCAGTTGTATCCTTTGAAAGGTCTTCCTGAGGGGGTCCAGATTTGCGTGGGGAGCTGGTGCAGATCAGCACGAGCTGCCTAAGAGAGAAAAGCAGGAACTGATCGACTGAACATCTTCCACAAAACTACAGCCAAATGCAGAAATGGAAGAATAAAGGACATTTGTTCAATAATAATACAGAATATAGATTTAGTATCTAGAGATACAGATCTAGTCTTAGTCACCCAAGTCCTGAAATGTGTAGACCATGACTATATCACATGCAAATAAAGGGCAACATGAAGTTTCACTATGTCTGTAAGGACCAACATTTCTGCAAGATGTAAAAGTCAACTGGTAAGATGTCTGCATTGCATTGTGTCAGTCTGTTTTCCTGTTCAATTTTGCTCTGCTGCCAGCATGAACAGATGGATAATTAAAAAACTCTACATATAAACAGATCATTATAGAACGTGGTCAGAAAGGAAGTACGTAGATAAGAATCATCTCTTGGAATACAAGAGCCAATTCCATACTTGTGAAAGGAATTCTCTGATGGCATCAGAGGTTTTGCTTTGCACCTGAGAAGAGGGAAATTAAACAACATGGACCAAAGATCAGCCCTACGGAAAGAAGTTTGAAGAGATGAGTTGTAACAGCTGTACATCAGTGGAAAAGCTGAACAGACTGAGTGAAGGAGCATGTCAGGAGATGCAAGCTGTTTATCCCTCAGAGTGTCATAGTTTCAGTTGTGCTGTGGATCAGAGGTCTATTTTCTAGCATTGGAATTATGGACAAATAATTCTACTTTACTTACAGCTTCTATATCTTTTATATTTGAGGATGAAAGAATAAATACTGTATTGTTTCTGAGTCCTGAGTTACTGTGAAAGGTGCCTAAAAGAAAACCTGGTCAGTAACTGGCTGGGACCTGGAAAGTGGTCTAAAGGTGAGTGAATCGCAGTAACACACCTGGAAGGAGCCAGAAGGTTAAGCATGGGTGGAAAATCAAGCATGGATAGCAGGATGCTTCATGATACTCTCAGCAAGGTACACAGCTAGAGCAGAAGCATAACCAAAGGTCTCAGAGAGAAATAAAAACTGTAAACTACTGTCAGATCTAGGATTTGAGAGCGAGTATGTCCTGTCAGAGTGAACTACCGTGTGTAAGTCTGTGTGTTCCTGGGTAAAGCTCCTGGCTGCCATCTGTGAGATTCGAGTCATGTACTCTGGCCTCTTCCCTGTCCTTGACTACTGTCGTGTAAAAAATCAGAGTATTTTCTGGATGGCTGGTTATATTGACATAGAGAAATCTCTATGTACAATCAAAAGACTTTGAACTGAATATGAGAAAACAAAGGTAAACAGGAGAGGAGGGGTTGAAAAATGCAGAACAATAACTCAAATAGTTATGAATATAACTTTTAGCAATACGGAAATGTTTTCATAGAAACATTCTTGATAAAGCTACTCAGAGCTTATATTAAAGTTAACGACAATGAACATATAATCCTAGAGAAAATCTCACATTCAGTTGGAATATAAGAGCAAACAGCCCTGTTCTAAAATAGTTTCATATGAGGGAGAAAAGAGCAGCTGTGGCAAAGATTAAAAGCAATAATTAAAAATGAATTAATAAATCTAAGAGTATTTTTAAGAACAAAACAAAATCTCCTTGCTCTGAGAGATCTTTTTTCCCTTATGCTAGCAACAGCTTTGTTGAACTCTCACTTCTTCCAGGCTTCACCTAGATTTGAACAGTATGTTCCAGAGGAAATAGAGCATATATTTTTATAGGCAGACTGTCAAAATTAATGCAGGGATATACTGGAAAAATTCAAAGCAGAATCTTTTACTTCTGTACTGGTAATAATTGTTTCATTCCAAAACTTTGGTCTGCATTTGAAAGAAACCCTTCAGGGGTTTGGGTAATGGATGCTGATGTCATTCAGTGGTTGAAAAAGATGAGAGGGAATTTGGACATCAGTGTACTTGCAAAACGTCATGAAGACTATAACAGCATCTGTATTTCCCCTGGAGATAGTAGATATTCTTAAACAAATCTTGTTTCTTCTGCAGATGGTTATACTACACTGCAAACATTCCAACGTGATTTCAATTTATACTTCCTTCCACTTCCATGCAATACAGTACCTTATTTTTTTTCAGCTTTAGACTCCCTGGCCCTGATCTCATTTCTCCAGGAGTCGACAGCTTCATACCCAAAGCACTTCCAGACTTCTGACAGAATCCAAAAGCTCTTGCATCCTACAGGGCTTATCCTGCTTATCCAGCTGGAGAGGCTGCCATGCAGTGCTGTGATGCACCAGACCTCTTGACGTTGTTCTCTCCCACACTCACACCTCCCACTTTCTTCCTCCTCAGCTGCCACCTTTTAGCAGCACAATAGCAGGCACATATGTTGAAGTCTGCTAAATTACACAGAGTATCTTCTAATATACCCCACATTCTGCCTCCTGGTGCTAGTAAGTACATCACAGACTATTACACTACTGCTCCTGAAAGACTCTGGGGTGTTAGACATATTTATTGAGATATAGACAGTGTTTTACAAGTTGACTACTACTTGTATTTAAAAATAAACTGCTAGGAGGATTCTGAATGCTGGATTATTGAAGTCTGACATAATAAAAATGCTACTGCCCCAGCTGCTTTCATGCATGTTCTGAGGAACAATCACAGTAAGGTACAACAGGTGGAACTTTGAGACTCAATACTGTCACAGCTGTGACTATGGATCATTAAGGCACTCACTGTAAAGTCCCATGGAATAGCTGCCACCGACAGGGAAAGAGCAGGGGTACAATGTTCAGCAGCTGCTAAAATTAGTGGGATTAAGATAGATTAATCAGTGAAATTAAGATAGATTAATCAGTAACAATAATTTGACTGCATAAACAAGAGCCTGACAATGCTGTCATTGTTTAAGGAAACAGGATTCAGAGGATTCACATGATCATCTCATAAAATACTTAGTAAACCAGAGAACTCAATAGTTACAATATAATAACACAATATACATAATACTAGATTCTGCCTTTTGTGCTTCATAGTTCCACTAGCACAGAAAACAACTTCTTTGTGAGCCTTTTGAAAGAGAATTTCCTAACAATTCTGGAAGTATGGCAAAGTAACATATTTCTTACCATGACTTCAAACAAGAAAATTAGCGCTCAGAACTATACATTTTCATAACAAATCAGCTGATATTCAAAGCTAGAAAAGCAAGGACAGACAGACCAGCTGACTATCAAATCCAGGCCCCCATAATTACAACCAACCAATACCCAGAAGCGAATATTACACATTAAGTAAAGTAAAAAATCCTTCTGGCCCTTACAAGATCAGTGGAAGCTCTGAAGGACAGAACTAAGTACAGCAAAACCACATGATCAACAAACAACAATAAAGACTCTTTTTAATCCTGTTTTTTTATGACAGCAAAAAATTAAGACCTTCAAAGCTGGTATCACAAGATTTTTACATTACAATTATTCCAGTCCCATAACATCATCATATTTGTACACTTCTCAAAGCAAAACACTTTAGTCTCTGTCCTTATCACCCAGTAGAAAAACACTCCATAAAGCCATTCCACACAGTGGAAATCTTCTGTTCAGAAAATTTTTACCAACACTAATTTGTGCAAACATTCTTTTGATCTAAATCATAATTGATTCCCAAACTATTTATGAGGAGCCATCGTGCAAGAACATCTTAAAAAACTTCTTAAGTAACACTGCCAAAATCCTCTGCTCCTATGCACAGCGTGTTACAAAAAAAATCAGCAAATAATATATTTGCCTCAATGAAGGCAGAGTGGTTCTACTCCCAAAGCCATTCGTTTAAAGAACTTTTGCTTCACTTTTCTACAGATGAGATCTTTTGTAATCTAAAAATATTTGACCACTGCAACTGGTGTCATACATGGATTATAATGACATGGTAATTGCTTACTCCACACTTCTGAAACTGCCACATTGTCTTCTTGAAGTCCTAAATGTTGAGATCCCATTCACTTATTCCAGTAGGAGCAGATGCTGCATCAATGCACAGCACAAGCACTGATGGCACTTGACGATGCAGGTATGAGATCAATATAATCACAGAAAACAACTGCCACAAATAAAATACTTCTTTTGTGAGAAAGGATTAGCTTTCTTTCCATTCTGAGAATCCTGGCCACCAGTAGGTGGTGTTACTGGAAATGGCAAGTGGGGTTTTTTCCCCCCTACAGATGAGATGCAAAACTCCACCTGCAGCACTGGTGGTTTTACGCAAAACTGAGGCTCCGCATTCTCTGTAAAAGAAGTATTTTATCCATGGGATTCTGAGCTGAGCAATTCCAAGAAGTAAGAGGATGACAATAGTATACCTGAAAATTTAAATACAAACAGGCAAAACGGGATCAGCTTGAAGGTAGGAAAACTGAAATTTATCTTGTCAGTTTAGCAAACGACCCTTCTGAGCTGCTTGAGGTCTCTCAATCAAATATTCCCCTCTAGATTGTCCAGAGGCTTTTAAAAACACCATGCATAACAGTAATTAGTGGTTTATATCTATATAAAATGTGCTTCATTAAAATTTGCAACTAAATCTTTTAATTATTGATCAGAACCTCTTAATTATTGATCAGCTGAGCTATAGCTTTGAATGGACTATATAACTGTGAAAAATGCCAGAGGCAGAAAGAAGGGTGCAATGAACGTTAGGCAAAATAAAACTGACAAATATGAGAGAAAAGACACTTGAGTAGTTCTAGTAAAAAAGAAACCAGCAGAAACAGGGTTAATTCCAGCCTTATAAGGCTGTTCAGCAGCACTTCAACTGCACACAAATTAGAAGAACCCTGGGAATCTATAAAGCTTGTTTTATTGGCAAGGACATGCAGCAAGATCTGCATTTTGCTGTTGTAAACTCTCCTTTATTTAAGATGTTCTAAAGCAGGATAGACTTTTATATGATTTTCTTTTTAATGCTGAATCATCAACAGGTGGCATCTACTGCAGCTCTGCACACCTAAAGGCAAGTTTTTACCGAGACAACAGTGGGAGTTGGAACATCCTTGATGTGTGTACCCAGCAAGGACCAGCCTGCTGCTGTCTGGAGGAAAATCAGCTCTGGAGAAATGGAATTAAGGTAAAATAAAGTGTTTTACCGTACCTAGTTACCTGTAATGCTTGTAATTACTCGGCTTTTGGCAGCCTTTCAGATGTAATTAAAATCTGACCACAGACCGACCTTTTAAAATCAATTTCGTAGGCTGCTAACTTATCTTTTATTGTATTTAAAGCAGTTTCACTGCCTTGTTCACAAATTGAAGGACCTTACGTAAAGGACAACAGTTTATGTCTGACTTCCACAGCTGCCTGAAACAAGCAGCGAACCTTCTTCTAATAAGTGTAAAGTCATACGGATATTTAAGCGTAAAGATTTACGCTGTTAAAACGATTCAAAACACAGCAGCAAGTACTGGGTACTTACGCCTGTTTCACTGAGAAATAAAAGCTCTGGAACTCATGTTATTTATTTAAGTATCTGTAGCTACTTCTGGTAATTTGAATACATTTAAGCAAACTCAGAGCTATATTTCTGACTAAAAACATTCTAATGCTCCTACTCCATTAGTGGTCTGCTCCTTTTTTCTCCCCCAGACTGTAGATTGGCAGAATTTAAGTCATTAAAATGTGGAAATATGCATGAATTTTACTAGCAAACGATTTTTTTACTATGCTTTACTGTAAATAAAATCAAGGGTTTGATAGGAAGACAAAGATTAAAGCAGTTCAAAATATTTGAAATTTAACACAAAATACCCTGTTTTTTTCATTTTCTTGCTGTTTTATTTGTTTGGTTGTTTTTTCCTTTAAATAAACTTCTAGCAATGCTTCAAGTCCATAACATTCAACATTTATGAGTAAACAAATCCGATAACTGGTATTTTCCATTCCTACCCGGAAGTCAGTGAAACATAATAAATCACAACGAAAAGCAAATTGAGTATAATAATGCTGGTGTAAATCAATACACTGCTTGTATTACCTTCATTTCTAAAATTTGCCTTCCCTTCCCACTGGAAGCAGCAGGAACCAACAACTTTTTATCTCTGTTGCTTTCTCAGCCACAGACTTTGCTATTTAATAGCCTTACATGATGATAAAATACATACATATCTATCTATATATATATATATATTAAAAATACCGGTTTTCTTTATTAGGCTAAACTCACTGATTTCTCTGTATTCCTGCATTTTCTAATGCTGAACACCTGAAGGGTACACACCATTTTAACAGATCTGCCCTCACAATATATTATCATCCAGAACAAATTTAAATTCTTTTAATTGAACCTTTGCATATATATTAAAACATGACGTTTCCTACAACCTCAGCTGTGATGTTAAGTTAGAAGAAGCACATAGCACATGGTACAGTGCTGGAATATGAGATTAATTCTTTTCCATTTGCAAATTGCAGGTCCAAGGATGTTCCTTGATTATTAAAAGAAAACAAATGGAGCTAAAATTCTACTGCCTTCCAACTTGCATGAAGAAACACTGTTGATGAAAACTTTTATATAAAGAGATACAAGTACCATCATGGTAAAAAGATTCCTACATGATCTTAAGGCACACAAGAACTGTAAATTCTCTCATTTACAATGTATATAGCATCCTGTAAAACAAATTAAGACATTTACTATTTGTAGTGTTATATTTTGGTCAGTTTTAAGTCTAATTAATCTGACTTCTAAAGAATTTTAATTTTCCATACAAAACTGCATCTTTTTCAACTCTAATCAAAAATGCTTACTAGAAGTTTAGTTGAAAACAACCAAAAATCTGATTTTTCGGTACTGACACCAAACTGTCATTGCTAATATCTTTCCTATAGACATTTTAACCATGGAAACTTATTCTGCCTCAATATCACCTGTTATATGTAACAGCACAGCTTTTAACCTGAATGGATCCCATTTGTGTAATGAAAGCTTATCCTCTAGATTAGCAGATAAATCGGAACACCAACAATATGTTATTGGTCTTTTCTTATCATGTCTTTACACAATATTTCTTTTTCCCATCGGTTTCGTAGGAAACATTCTGATACTGGTTGTCAACATAAGCTTTAGGGAAAAAATGACTATCCCAGACCTTTACTTCATAAACCTGGCGGTGGCCGACCTCATTCTAGTCGCCGATTCTCTCATTGAGGTGTTTAACCTTGACGAAAAGTATTACGACATCACTATCATTTGCACCTTTATGTCTTTGTTCCTTCAGATCAACATGTATAGCAGCATTTTCTTTCTGACATGGATGAGTTTTGACAGATACCTAGCCCTGGCAAAAGTAATGAGGTCCAACATATTCCGCACTATGCAGCACGCTAGACTGAGCTGTGGGCTCATATGGATGGCGTCCATTTCTGCAGCTCTGGTCCCGTTCACAGCTGTGCACTTGCAGCACACCGGAGAGGTCTATTTTTGTTTTGCAGATGTAAAAGAAATCCAGTGGTTAGAAATAACCTTGGGGTTCATTATCCCCTTTGTGATCATCGGTCTCTGTTACTCGTTAATTGTCCGAGTCCTTATCAAAGCACACAAGCACAGGAGTCTTCGTCTGCGGCGGCAAAAGGCTCTTCGCATGATTTTTGTTGTGGTCTTGGTTTTCTTTATCTGCTGGTTACCTGAAAACGTCTTCATTAGCGTCCAACTTCTGCAGAAGAAAAACGAGCCCGTCTCTTCCAACAGCCCATCCTTCAGACACGATTATCCTTTAACAGGACACATTGTGAACCTGGCAGCTTTTTCTAACAGCTGTCTGAACCCCTTAATTTACAGTTTTCTAGGGGAAACCTTCAGAGACAAACTGCGACTGTACATTGAACAGAAAACAAAAATGTCAACGTTACATCGCTTCTGTCAGGCTGCCTTAACGTCTGTCATCCCTGACAGTAATGAGCAATCAGAAGTCTGATTTAGTAGTCATTGTATGAAACATACGACTGTGGAGTTGTGCAAATAGTGAACAAAATGCTTGCTACTAACAGAAAAAAGTGCATTTGTGAATATATATATAGTGTATCGCTCTACTGAGTATTGAAGGTTTATATTCAAAATGTTTTTATGACAAGACTTTGATGTAGAAGAATATGTTTTAGCCAGATTTATATTTAATTAAGAACAGGATTATTAAAATCTGAGCACTGAAGAAGCTTTATTTTGTATTATACGTGTATGAATGACAATAGAGGGGAAAATTTTATCAAGTTAGGAAGACTCTAGATGTAATCTGATTATCAGAGATGCTACTTTGCTGGTGTATATAACTTCCACTGAAATAATGAAGCTGCCCTAACAGTGGGGAAAAATCATTACAACATATTGACGTGGAGATGCAGAAAACATTGATTTTTTTCATCCAAACATGTTAAGATAAATGACTTTGCTTAGAACTACATACTACTATCGTCACTGTATTCCAGCATGTCTTCCATGATTAAGTTTTTTTTTAATCTTAATACAATCAAGCACAGTGGTGAGTTTTTGTCTCCTAAATATAAACTGCTGTTTAGGTGTTTATGTGATCAAAACCAAAATCATATGTAACTATACTGCTCATCTCAAAGAACTTCACATAAGCAAAATGTAGTGTTTCATTCTGTCTTTTAAAGGTTGACCCAGACCATCTCTCACAGGACAGGGATAATTGTGCCTGTTCTTAAAAATGCCAGTGCACATACATGTACATTCACATCTGCCTTCAGATTTGAATGCATGTTTCATCTCTTTACATTCAAAAGGTCTATTTTGACTGCCAGGACAAAATGCTGTGAGTTTTAAGGAGGCATCACTTGCTGCAAGAGGGTGTAAATAGTGCTTGTGAAAATAACAGAAGCCTCTATTTTTAGGAAGGAAGAACTTATGTAATCGGGAGTGTGATTGGCAATTACCAGATCTGCACCTTGTGCACTGTCCTTCCCACCTCCAGAGAGCATTGGCCTTTCAGGGTTTTAAGATGTATGTAGGTTGCTTTGCTCATTTGAAGATTAATTATACTAAGCAAACAAATTACAGCACCACTTACTGGAAAACAATACTGTCTCTTTTCTTCTAGGAAATAATTGGGTTTTAAATCTGATTGATGTTTAGCACAGGTTACTGCTGAACTTGTTCAGAGGAAGCTATAAAGTTCCTGGAGATTAGTGTGCAAGATCATTAAAACATCACTTGCTGCATCTCTGAAATGAACAAACCCATTTCACCTCTGTGCTTATCGACTGAAGCACCAGAACTCTGCAGAACAAGATGCTTTGTCCTATTTTTAAATGTCACACGTGAATTAATTAGCACAATAACAGATTTTAAAGCATAAACGTAGATCCTTAAAACAACGACTAAAGCTAATAAAGCAATAAAGAAAACAGTGAAAACAACGATTCCACTCATATTTCTCATGAAATATCTTGAGCTTCCTAGTGGAAGTTTTGGCCACAAAAGACTTGACCTATAAACAGAAAGGCCACAAGACGATGATGGCTGAATTTGAAATAGATATCTAGATATTCCTGCAGCTCAAACAGGAACTGCAGGGTGGGGTCCGAGGCAACTGTGGGTTAAGGAAAAATGTCATTTTAGTCACATCTTCCCCGTAGAACACCAAATATATCTTCTCTCAAGCCCTTTTTCTTCATTATTTTCCTTTTTGGAATTAGCCACAGTTACTCATGTCCTGTGGACTGCCAATGGGCATGATCACACCTTCAAAGACAACTATTTCAGACAACTCCGAGCTGAAGAAATGGATAATTATCTTGGCAAGGCAATTCAGTGAATTAAGATACATCTTGAGTTCACAGACACTCGCCCTGAATAAATAACTTACTTGGGGTTACTGGAATACACTTTCCCAATTGTAGTTGTTGCTTACTTTGGTTTTATAGGAATAAGCTCCTTTCCCTTCCTCCTTCCTTCCTATACAGGGATCAGGTTTTTGATCAAGGCTGTGGCAGAAGCCCTTTCACTACCACTGTAGAACACAAGTCAAGAAAGTCTTTGTGCAGAAGCTTATAATAATAAACAAACAGCAATAGCAAATGCCTGCTCATACATGCTATGAAGTAGTTTGTTTCTAAATGATCATTTTCAGTAATACACAGTGAAATCTAGGAAAGATCAGACTATTATAGTATGAAGAAAATATTTACTCAACTCAAAAGAACCTATTGCATGTTAAAAACAAAATTAACAAACCTAAAATACCTGTTGAGTTCCCCACTGTTCATATTTTGGCACAGGCTTACAAACTGTGCATGAAATTACTAAATTTAAACACACTACTTACTTTAAATGCAAAGTACTCTCCCAGCTGAAAAAGCACACTAATTTCCAAAGCTTTTTCTTTTTAAACAGTAACTCTACAGAGAAATATCTGCAGAAATGCCATACAACTTCCATGTATTTATATACACAACATGCTTTCTGCAGCCCATCATCTGCAATAACTTGTCACTATGGCTTATCCATGAACCAAATAGTTCTGTTCTAAACCTGTTGTTTTCTTTAGTTTTAAAAAGCATAATCATCAGTAAACAAAAATTTTCTGAGAGTGTAGAGGAAAGCGGGCAAGAATTTTAATACAACTTCTTCACTTTTTCCTCTGGTCTCTCACAAATTGTTCAGTTGTTTAATTTAGGGAAAGAATTCCATATGCCTTTCTAAAACGCTGGACTGATGACAACTATGAGATTTAAAAACCTGTTTATCACAGATGCTTACAATCTTTGCTATAATAGTCTATATCAAGTCTCCAGACAAAAAAAAAAAAAGTCTAATATTACAAAAAGCTCACAGAAATGAAGGGAGGGAGAATAACCAAAGAATGCCTGAAAGCATTAACTGCTTTTGAAAATACCTTAACACAAGAATATCCTGAATGCAGAGTATAACTGAATATCTAGAAATAAAATAAATGCAAAAGCACAAATTAGCACTAATCTAGACCTGATGTGACTGAAAGCAAGTCTCCCCTCAGCTGTGTGAAAAGATACAAGAATAATATTTATCTGAGACCATTTTAACGTGTTAAAGAGATGCTGTAACTTTACATACTTTTAAGTTTTAGGAGATACTCTAAATACCAACTGTGCAGGCACAACATCCACATCTAGAAAATGCAAAGTCAGTCAGTCTAAAGATAAAGCTTGATTCATTTATGAAAAGCATTACATGATGGGAGGACATGTGACAGGGAATTTGAATCAATGAGTCAGGCGATCCCGCATTCTGTGCAAGGCTGACATAATACGGACACGATGTAGAAAAGTCACCTCTTCCTTTGCAGGCTTAAAAAAAAAAAAAAAATTGAGCACAGTTTTACAAGAAAATGCTTGTAAAATTTCAGGCTAAGCATCTGTGTTTCAAACAAAATTCACTGGCTGTACGCTGTAGGCTCTAATCTTTTTTCCAGCCATCAAGTTATGTTAGAGTATTATAACTGAATTTTTTCCCGTGTAAGGATTTTGCTGTATTCCCTCATCTGTTTATTAAGACTGCAAAAGGGAAAAGGTTGTCTGGACAATTTTAAATGGTTAGGATTGTCACATAAAAAATGTGCTAAAGAGTGGTTTACCGTAAGTAAAAGCATGTCGAGTTCAACCCTGATTTTCATTAATTCCATTTGAACTTGTTTCTGCATAAGTAAAAACAAGTGAATGCAGGAAGAAGCAGGTTTGAATTTTAATAGCTATTCGTGAAGGTGAACCAATGAATTAATTTGATTTTGACTGAAAACAACAGAGATAAGGGGTTTTGCTTTTCATTTAAGAGACAGCAATGCCTTCTCAGGACTGCAGACAGTGCAGGATTAGCTCTGCTTTCAACTTGGTCTCTTAAATGCTACTTCATTTATTTTACATATGTCCACTAAATTCCTCTACAAAATCTAAAGATGATTGTCTGAGTCCCACAAAATCACCTGCATGTTCAGAATGGCCTTTGAAATGGTTCAGCCCCTGTGATAAAACCATATTCAAATTTCCAGCCCATTGCTCCAACAGTCTGATGCAGGTATATACAGAAGTTTCAAAGCTCTAAATTAACAAACTACTGAACCAAAAAGTAAAACCTACCTTCGCTAAATAAACATTTAATGCAACAGGGGAAGCCTTTCCAAAGCAGCAGCTTTGCTTGCAAGTCCCAGCTCACTTGACCTGCAAGCAAAACCACTGAAAAGGTTTAAGACCTTTTCAAATTGCATTGAATGTGTTTTCTGGAAGGACTTTAAAAAAACTAGGGGGAAAAAAGACATAGTAGAGAAACGGGAAAACTATTAGGATATTGTTAAATTATCTTTAGAACTTGGAGTTAAGGTGATTTTTACAGAAGGAGCTCAGTGTTAGAATTGCCTAATAGTGCTGGAGATAGATTTATTTTCTGCCTCAGCAGCAGAAATATTTCCTTTCCCAGGCATTCTCTCAATAGAAACAGTAATATAATGGCAAATAAGATTTTCTTCCTTTCATTCTCTCTCCATTCAGAACTACAAAAAAGAAATAGCCTGTACCTGGCTACAGAAACCTTTTAACTCTTGTGCTCCAGAGCGAAGTGCACACAGCAAATTGAGAAAGAAACCAAGGAAAAAGCTCACTTAAACATGGCTTGAAAGCCATGAAAGATGGGAATTTCATAATAAAATAGGAAAAACTTGTCTACTCCAAAGGTGACTTGAAATAAGGACCAGTCAATGAGGTACACAAAGGCTCCAAAGTCCACAAAAAGGCCATGACCAATTTCAATGACCTTTGTATTACAGGTCAGTGTCACAGTTCTGTAACCACTGAGTTATTTTACACATGGGTAAATATGAATAACTCCCATTTAGGATTCAGCACATAATGTAAAGGTAGGATGGAATGACAGTTACTAAAAGCATGTATTTTCCCCACATACTTTAGATTTTCCATTCTCTTTACATAACCTCTCTGCTCCTTTTTAAGCCATGCAGCTCTAAGCTTTCAGTACATTCCCTGAACAGCTTTGACATCTTTCAAAATGTAGGAGGGTAGGAAGAGCTGTCTGCCCTTACGTATATACGCTGTTTGCAACAGCCTGGTTTACAGATGCAAATTATTAAGATAATGCTGAGAAATTTAATAAAACACTGGTTGATGATCTTCCGTTTGATGTCCTACAGAACTCCCGTGGGATTCAATTAGAACAGGTAAATTCACTCAAAGACAGAGTCTGGTTCCCCGTCAAATACCTTCATGCTTGTACCCTCAATATTTCAGACAGCTTCTAAAAGTCAAAAGATTAATTTTCTGTTCTAATTACTTGTTGGATGTAACAGACAAGCACTTTCCAAGTATTTATTAATCTGTGTGGCTTTGATCTAATACCCAAGAGCCATTTTATCTATGCTGTAATTTATTAACACACATAAATATACACTGTTCTTTCGTGTGGCTTACAATATTGCATCGAAACACAAAAGGTATTTTGAAGGAGGAAACTTCTAGCTTCTTGTTCTTACTATGGAAGCAGCCAACACCCTCCTTTTATCTGCACCAAAACATTGGGGGGGGGTAATTTCTGAATCTATTCCAGCAATACAGAAAAAATTGTATTTTATAAAAATCCTTATATCAGACTCACATGTTGTTTAGAAAAGCAGTAGCATTCCATCAAGGACAGGGAAAACAGCTGCTTTTTAGAATAAACGTATTTTAAATATCCAAATTCGTGCCTTTTTTTTTTTTTTAAACAAATTAACATTAACAAAATAGTACCAAGAACAATAAAGAGGAAGTAACAAATCCACAAGAATCAGGTTTGCATTATTATGTTACACAAAACATACATCCAAGTTTCAGGCCCTCTCCTGAATAATTGCCTTTGAATGCCCATTTCTCTGCTCTTTATCCTGTATCAGAATGCAGCAAACATCCTTTCAGGCTTACAACTTAATTTCTTGCCAAGTGAATGTGTTTTGTGAAATCAAACATGTAACAGGACTTTTTTTGTTAACTGAAGTTACACATATTTTGAGGTTTTGTGCCGAATTTTCTATATTCAACAATTTGGGCCTTTTCCAGCACTTTTCATTGATGGTGACTCTGTCTGTGAGGAGCTGAAAGTCATAAATACAGAACCAGAATAAAATCATTACTGAAAAGGTGCAGAAAACAGTGTTCTCACTGGACTGGAGCTGAGTGACACACAGTGAAGCAGAACTTGCCTCTGCTCCTTCAACAACTGCTTGAAGACTCAACAAATTGAGCCCACAAGTGGGAATCCCGTCCTGAATTTCAATTTTTTAAAGATATTTGCAGCTAAGTCATGAAAGCAAGGATTTATACTGGAAATCCAACAAGAACCACCAAGGTAGGTCTCATCACTAAGTAAAGAATGAGGGCTGAGAGGGAAAGACAAGTAC